GTAAACTTTTCTATGTAACTGCAATTTAACTGTGGAAATCACTATGGTTCAATATCCACACATATTTATTATGATTTTCTATAAAAAAATGTTTTAAAAAAAGCCCCAAAAAAACCCCATCAAATGCCCATCATTCTGGCAAAGAAGATGTCTTTAAACACAAATAAAAATATATAAAATAATTAGTGAATCTTTACGAAGCTGTAACAAAGAAATTCAAAAAAATCAAACATCATTTATTTACAACACAAGAATTTTTTTTACTGCTTAATAAACGTGTGCTCTGGCCATGAAGCAGACACCTCTGAACAATATTCCCAAACTGTCTCATTTCATAGCTGACCCTGGCAGACCTGAGACTGGAGCTGAATTGTTATTTCACAGACTGTAATTGATTAATGCAAAGCAGCAGCAGCAGCAGCAGCAGCAGCATCAGTCCCCAGCCAGACTGGGACCAGGATCCTCAAACAAAGCATCCATTCACAGAGAGGCAGGGGAGGAAGGGAGGAGGGGGGTGCTATACATTTTGGTAAACCTAAATACAATAATAGCAGTACGGAGTCAGAGAATACACATTGTCTGTGGTGCAGGTTCCACACTTTGTTGATTTAAAACATCAGTAAATAACTTGAGCGGACCCAGGATCTGCTGTGGATCAGAGGAAAGTGAATTATAACTGAATGTGGACACTTAAACCAAGCAGAGAGAGAGAGAGAGAGAGTGAGAGTGAGAGGGAGAGGGAGAGAGAGAGGGAGAGGGAGAGAGAGACAACAAAAGCCGGGGACCAACAAAAGCCCTGGATGCCATGAGGAGACAGATGCTGCATTCACGTGCTCTTCGTAAACCGTAAATCCCAGTAGAAGCACATACACAGTCAGACATGTGAAGAGGCGTGGGGGCAAGGCTAATTTATTTGTGTGGTACCTTTCAGCCACGAGGCAGTACACAGTTCTTTACAAAAGACATAAAGGGCATTAAAACTGAATATTAAAAAGAAACACAGCAATGAAAAAAGACACACGAGATAGTTCTAAAAAAAAAAAAAAGCTTAAAAGGAAAAAAACAGATTAAACAGAAGAATGAAAAAACAATGCAGCACAGTAACTAGATACATGAATAAATTAAATTTGATATATAAATGTAAGTCTTAAGCGTGGATTTTAAATAACTTGAAGTTGCAGCAGAAGTTTGTTTCGATACGTAGGCAGAAAAAAATAATACTTCCAGATGTTTAGTGCTTTTTAAACAAGAGTAGAATTTTAAAAGTCTGCGGAAAGATGTGAGAACTGCATTGGTTGGAGCTTTTAATGCTTGATCAATGTTTCAGGTGATGGATTATATGATTGTCTTTTTAGCGACTGAAGATAAAGACTGACTTTAAAGGTCTTCTTCGGGTCCAAAGTAGTTATTTCAGTTTTTTTCTCCTTAAATGGAGGAGATTTTGGCACCTCACCTATCACTGAGACCTACAGTGTTTATATAACTAGAGATACTATTCTATGAATCACTGTCTGTATAATTATGATATTTCTACAGTCTCACTGAAGTGTGTATACGTTTAGCTGAGGAAGATTGACAATTGAGTGTTGGGAAATCCAAATGCAACTTGGATGATGATGTTGATACAGCCAATAATACCAAGGCTGAGACTTTTTCACAATTTCTGTTAAAGCAGATGCCATTTAAGGCTCATTGTTGCAGTGTGGTCATAATACAAACACTGATTTATTCTCTGCAACTTTCTGAATAAGTCTTTGATACTTTTTAAGAATAAAAAATGTCCTGCGTCCACCTCTCACATATGAATATTTTTAGGGAGACCAGTAAAGACAGGCTGAATTTGCTAAACATTTACTGTTCTGCTGTAAATTGAATATTTGCAGAGCTTGAAGTGTCACAAACAGGTTCAGAAAACTGGTAAATAGCAGTTTTTCACAATTACATGTCATGTCACATGTGATGCTTTCTCCTGGCGGTCGCTTGGGGGTTGTGCGGGGTGGACTCACACCGGTACCGCTCTCCACACATCGACACTGTCCTCAGTTTGAGCTCTAAATTTAAAGATGAGGACAAAATGCCCCAAGTTTTTTTTTTTTCTGGATTAAGCCTCATTTGTCAGCTGGTTGGGTCACTGGGTGCATGAAGGCTCAAATGTCCGACAGCCACTGAAGGCAGCAGGAGTCCTCCCAGTCAGATCTGGCTGAACGTGACGTGCCGACTCGGAGCCGAGCGAGGTTTCCTGGCGAAGCTGCGGAGGGAGCAGGAGCCGAACGGGTCTGTCTGTCTGTCCGTGTGTCTGTCTGCCGCCGCAGTCTCTGTCTGTCTGGGACACAAAAACCCTCCTTTTCGGCTTCCACGGTCCGGACACGGCATCAGCGGCTATGGATCCATCGCTGTCCTCCTCCTGTTTTCGCCACTGAGGGACCGTTGGATGCTCCAGTGCCCATAGAGGAGGGAAGGAGGAGGAGGGGGCATCCCTATCATTCTTCGACTACCAGGTGAAATTATCATATTGATGAGAAATAACGTACCGGGTGTGGAAGCGGGAATTGTTTGTGGGAATGGGGAGGTGAGGAGGGAGGGAGGAGCGGGGGTTGGGGTCGTCGTTTTGGGGGCACGGGCAGCGGGTTTGTCTCGAACCCGGAGCGGGTGGGAGCGGAGGTTAGCATGCTAGCTAGCAGCCGTTAGCGGACTGCTGCTGCTTCGTCATTCGCCAGTCTGGGAGGGATGCGGCGCCGGGATGCTGCTGCTGCTGCTGCTGCTGCAGCTGCAGAAGGGAGGGGAGGGCTAGTAACGGTAACGGTACCGTCCGTCTGGCCTCGGCCCATCTCCGTGATAAACGACACCCCCCCCCTACACCCCCCCTCCACCCCAACCTCCCCGTTTGTCCCCCCTCTCCTTCTCCTCCCCCCTCCTCCATCCTTTCAAAAACACAGCGTCTCGTCTCCGTCCGACATGGAGAAATAAAACCACCGATTAACTGCGGAGCTGTCTCATCCCACACCGGAGAACAACATCCCGCTCTGCCGCCGTCTGTGACTGTCAGTTAGCCAGCGTGCTATGCTAGCCAGGCATCCAGCTAGCTAGCCGGCTAAGCCTAGCGCTAGCATCCCCCCGCCACCCCCCTCAGCTAGCATCCCTGGCTAGCTCGCATCCTCCAGCCGAGCCATCACAGGCCAGCCTGCCTTACACAACCGTCTCCCCGATCCAGCCGCTTCACACCGGCTGTTTCATCCCCACCAACAATTAGTAATCGGCACAAGAGTCACTGTCAGACGTTTATTCGCGTCTCAGCCATTAAAACATAATGGAGCACGCCAAGCGGATGTTGTTATGTAACAGATAATGACACCACACGCCCTTGAAACAAAAGCTGTTGTTTCAGTATTTGTTTGTTTGTGTGCGGTGCAGGACCCAATCATGGACAATAAATCAGAGACAGGGGGTGTTTGTCGCACCGAGGGCCCCAGCGCCGAGCCGGCTTCTGAAATATACAGCGGCTGCTCCTGTCAGCCATTGTTTTTGTTGTCATTGGAGGGCTCACATTTGTTTTGCAGCCCTGGATCTGCCCAGTGAAGGTGTGTATGTGAGCTGTGCATTGAAGGAACATGGCCAGTCTGTCTCATCTTACATCCGTGTAGCTTATCGGGCTGATTTGTCGATATTTATTGGGAATGTGAGTATAACCCTTAATGAATTAAATTGTACAAGAAGACTGGCCAGGAGGCGATGGTGAAACGCTGTCAGGACCATGCTTTGTTGTTAAATTAGGTTACTTGTTAAAGACAAGCAGGGGTGAGACATGGAGGTCTTATCTCATGATGATTGCATGGATGTGATGTTGGCAGTTTTGTTTAGGGATGACAGTCCTTTATGAATCACCAGCGCATCTATGAAACTGAACAGGAACACATTTACCTCTATGGTAAACACAGAGGCAGCTCAGGGGGATTTTCATAAGAGGAATATTTAGAAACCCATTGTAGTCGCTGTGTATTTGGTCATGAGGGTGATATCATTGTCAGAATGATATCATCTGAACTTGTTATTGCTACGCACTGCCTTCCAAGTGAATGAGCATCCTGTAAATAAGCCCAGACAATACTAATTGTTAAAATGATTGTTCGAAAATGTCTTCGCTTGGCATGTGGCAGTGATTTAAAACATTTTGCTTCCGAAGCAAATGCAAGGAGAGTCACTACAAATGAGTATTATTGAAGAATGCAGTGTATAGAACATACACATTCGAGCATTTATACATTATCATCGTTAATCCTTTGTCTCAGCTGGGAAACACTTTGGTTCTGTTGTTTCAGTTGTGATACATGGATAACGGAGGCTTGACTAGATGTGCAGCTTTCGTGTTGGCTCTGTGGGTTTAGTCTGTGTGTCTTCTAGTGTCTTCCATCAATTCATGTCATCCTAGACTGACTTCAAGATGTTAAGCTCAAGGCTCTGTGGTGTCCTTTGCTCTTCTCGTTGCAGAAGTTAGTTCTTTATGACTCTGGCTGGATGTTTTGTGCCTGTTAACCTGCTGTTGAATGGATTTGGGGCGTTTCGAGGCCCCGCTGATGATATTGCACGGTGGATAAGAATCTAAACATCTGAAGTACCTAAAACTTGTGCGTCAATTATTTGTCGTACTACCTCAGATCCTAAAGAGAGTTCAGCAGTGTGAGAGGTTGCTGTTACCATGGAGATGTTGAGTGATCTGAAGCTTTGGGTTTGGCAGCAGGAAGAGATCAATAGCATATAAGTCACTGTTTGTACAAGAAATTACATTACTCTAAAGTATATATTTAGGGGGGAAAAAAGCACATTTTGCTTCAACCTGATTGAATGTGAGGGGAAATGGAGGTAAGGAAGGAGTGCTGGTGATGAGAAGGTAGGAGGATAAGCAGAGAGAGGACGGAACCGGAAGATGGATCAAATGAGGGAAGAGAAAGTGAGCCAGCAGGATTCTGTGCTTAAGTTTATCTTAAGGAGCGCTGCTTTCCCTGAATGAAAAAAGTAGGAGCATGGATGAAGAGATGTGGCAGAAAGAAATAACAGGAACACATCTCTATAGCAAACAGTAAACATTTAAGACACAGTAGAGTATGTATGAGGGCAGGGCGATATGGCCAAAAATATTGATCACGATATAAATGAGAACATTTGCGATAACGATATAATTGACACTAAACAAAATACTTCAAAACTGCACAACTTTATTGATGCAAATTTTTTTTTTTAAAAAAGAACAATTTCTTTTCCATTTAGCAAGCGGCTGTTTTTGATGTTCATTAAAGCTGTAATGTGCCAAAATCAATAGTGCATAAGTTGTAAATTGCTTGCTGACAATTTGTTTAATCAAAAGGCATTTCAGATGACAAATCCTGAGCGTAACAATGTCTAGTGTCCACAAAAGTAAAGTAGACATCATGACATCAACGTAAAACTTTGCAGCCAGTTTCTTTGGTCTCACCAGCCCGTCAGTTGGGGGGTGTGTAGCGGCAGGTGAATATTTAGACCGACGGGGTGGAAGTGGGCAGGACGCACAGGCAGTACTTTGGCTGCTGATGCCAGTTTAGGAAAGCGGTCACACTTCTGTTTCCACCATCGGGCGGTGGAGGCGGGTGGCGGGCAAATATTCGGATCTCAAAATTGCTATCTGGACATCACAATGATCCAATACTCCGATATCTGGGTCCAGCTCTACTGTGTCAGTCGATGCATTCGCCCTCCTCCTTGGTCGCCGCCATGCCTCTCGCTCCATGTGACCGGACGAAAACAACAGCACTGCACGTTTCACTCAAATTTTATCGCAATATTTCAATTTCATATCATCCTTCTGACATGACACCGGTATTACCGTGCACGGTGTGATATGGCCCAGCCCGAGTCTGTATAAGACAGGGGGAAGCAGTCTTATATAGAAGAACTGGTTTGTACTTGATTAGTGCATCACTTTTCAAACAGCATTCTGTTGAATTTAGGGTTGAGATTTTAGCATTTCATCCACCTGAGCCCAGCATTGAACTCACTTATGTAATCGCACCTTTTAGCGAACCTCTTTCTTTTTTACTGTTCACCTTTTGTGACAGAAATTCTAAACCGCTTCCTCTCAGAAGATCCAGGTGAAATCTGTCGGTTGAGGAGACACGCACAGTTTTGAGTGGCAGCCTAATTAGTGTTCACAACTTGTAGTTCAGACCTGAAGATGGGATCAGACAGAACTCGGTTCACTCTCAATGAAATTCTTGTGCCAAAGATGCTCAGCATACGTAGTAAAAATAAATAAATATTCACGGCAGCAGAAGACATCAAATGGTAATTGAATATGTATATTTAAATAACGGTCGCCTGCTGACTCTGTAACATCTTATTTTCCAACAGCTCCCTGCTCCAAATCCTGATTCAGAACTAACAGCTGATTCACTTAATTTGTCTGAAATGAATAAAAGTGCAGCTGGGAGATTCTGATTCCTGATACTGACATGACGTGCATGTGGTCTTTCACTTGATAAGACATGTTAGAACCACAGCAATGCTCCGTTTGCTCTGATTCGTTACATGGGGTGATACATCTTTTACCTTATAAACTGTCTTTAGCTTGGTACAGTCGACTGTGTTGTGTTAAAGCTCGGTTCCACATCGGCAGCGGCAACATTTCAGTTGGACCTGTGATTTCGTTAAGTCCTGGAATGAATATTGACAGCTGATGTGATCTCCGTGTAAAAGTAGAAAGCGGTTACCTGACTGTTGTGTACTCTGATCTTTGAGAACTCAGAAATCAGGAGACGTCGGTGCGTCTGAATTATTCGTCACGCTATAAGTTTAATTCGCATATGCGAGCAAAATGGACGCACTGTGGAGTCCTGGCCAGGAAATGATTGGTTTTTGCATAGGCTGAATAGGAGGACCAGCCACAGTCACAGAGGGTGTGATGGGAAGAGGAGGGAAAGGAGAGAAGGAAGCCAGGGAAGGAGCAGGTAAAGAAAAGAGAGCAGGGCCTGGAGAAGGATGGAAGGAGGGAGGCACGGGAAGTTTGTGAGTAAAAGATAATGAATGACGACGAAAGAAAATCTGTGGAATGGTAGAGCGATGTGGAGGGAAAGAGAGAAAGAAGGAAGGAAGAAGAAAAGAAAGTAAAGTTGGTGAAAGACTCATGGAGAGAAGGAAGGAAGCGTAGAAAGGTTAGTGAAGAAAGGAGGGAGAGAAGTAAGGGATGAATGATGGAGGAAAGTGAGAGTAGAGGCTGGTGAATGAGGGAGTGGAGGGTAGGAAGGAAGGGAGGAAGGAAGGAAGGAAAGACGTGAGAGTGGGAAGTGCCGAGAAACTCCTGTGAGGAAGGAGGAAATGATGAAGGGAAAAATGGAGGGATAGATGGATGTGGGTGAATAGTGAAGAAGAAGGAAGGAATGCAGGAGAAGTAGGGGTAGAAAGTTTAGGTGAAAGTAGTTAGTGAAGAAATGAGAGAGGCAGAAGACAGGAAGAGAAGGAGTTAGTGAGGATGGAGATGGACATAGCAAGAAAAGAAGGAAGGATGAAGTTGTTAGGGAGTGACTGACAAAAGGAAAGTAGGAAAGTAGGAAAGGAAAAATGCAATGAAGAGATGTGGAGAACTGAGGGCGAGAAGGAGGTAAGGGAAGGAAAATAGGGAAATGTCAAAAAAAAAAGGAAGGAGTAAAAATGAGGTACACTGAAATACTGTAGAAAAGGTAGAAAAAGTGAGAAACAGTAGTTGGCAGGAGGAGGAGGGAACAGAGGAATCAAGAAAAAGGTAAAGGATATAAGGAGCTGAGGAGGCAGGAAGTGTGCTAAGGCTCTGAACAATGAATGGTTGCCAGCTGTATTTGCTGTACGAAGGAAACTATCCACTGACCTGCTCTGTGTGTTTTTTTTTTCTTCTCTCGCCTCTGTCCTTTCTCTGGCATGGTTTCCTTTCAGGCTGACTCACTGCTGGAGCGCCTGAACACAGAAGAAGAAGAAGAAGAAGAAGAAGGAGTTTCAGAGAACGAGAGAGTGAGGAACACTGTGAGAGTAAGAAGGAAGGAGGGAGGGACAGAGGAGCAAAAAGGTGAAGGAGGTGAGGAACACTAGGAGGAGGGGAGAGACAGACGACGGCAAAGAGAAAGTGAGGTTGGGTCGACGGAAAGAGAAAGTGATAGTGGGAGGGAGTGAAAGAGAACGATAGAGAGACACTAGAGACAGGTAGGGAGCAGGTGGACAGATCCGAGGTCAGGTGAGCGTGGGCGCAGGTAGGTTGGAGGTCGAGCAGTCAGACGGACAGCTGACTGAGCTGCAGACGAATCCGCTGTCCCGCTACCCCTCCAACAGCTGTCCCTTCACGGTCACCACACTGGGAGAACTGGGAGAACTGGTGACGAGGAGAAGCCACCATGAGCGACCAGAACGTCGTCAAGGAAGGCTGGGTCCAGAAAAGAGGTCAGTTTGTGTTTTGTTTTGTTGTGTTTTCAGTCTTGCTCTTTAAGAAAATGTCTGATGTTTTTTCAACAAATCCCAAACACAGACTAGAGCTGCACAGATTAGATCATTAATCAGATTGAAAGAAAACGAATTGTTGGTTTTTGTGGTGATGGATTTATACGTATGAATCATTTTCAAGCAAAAATGTCAAAAATGTGATGGTTCCATGTTGTCATACATTATCGTAAATTAAATGTTGACTGTTGGTTAGAGAAAACAAGACCAGACGATCAAGGAAAGGAAACAGCTTTCACATTAGTGGATTTTCAGTTACCAACAATCGATGTATCCGAAGCCTGATAGATGTTGTTCTCTCTGCCGTGGCGCGCCATTGTTTCCCAAAAACTATTCAAAACACATCAGCCGCACTCTTCCACTGAATGACACTGTAGATTATTTTGACTCACGCACACCATCCTGCTGCCCCAAATACTCAATAGAGCACCAAATGTGGATTAATCCGCTGCTGAAAATAGTCCCCAACAAATCCACCATTCCTTCCTGCTTGGGTAACATTTGTATAAAGATTGCAGTGCTTTAAAAAAAATAAAAAAAAATAAACTGGATATTTTCGTCCCTTTAGCAAAGCTTTGTGTCTTCAGTTGGAGCTAGGCGTGTATTAGTCTGTGTGTTCATCCTGGGCTGTGCGGTACGTGACGTTTGGTTTAGTATAAAAAAAAAGAGTTCCACTTGGAATGTTTTGGTGGTTTAACCAGTTGTTGGCCATCAGCTGCAGCGTGCTCGTTGGTTTTACCCTGAAAACAGAAAGCAGCATTCGAGTGCCTGAACTCTGACAGTAAGAAACGTGGCCAGTTTTGAAAATCAGTAGAAAAACATTGTTGTTGTTGTTGTTGTTCTTGCTGGTGTATTGAAAACATACCAAACTGAATTTTGAGCACCGGTACATCCCAGTAAGAACCAGTGAGCACGGGCTGAGATCAAAATGTGTTTAATGGACAAAGCATTTCAAACAGTGCAAAGCCAGACATTTCAGAGGCACATACAGTC